CCTGCAGCCCCAGCTCACAGGCGGCTGCCCGACATGCCCCCTGTCACGGGCGCTGGCCTCAGCCCCTCCCTCTCCCCTGCCAGGTGACGGAGCTCAAGAGCCTGGCCAACCATGTGGTGGTGGGCAACGTCTCGTGCGAAACCAAGGACCTGTTTGCGGCGCTGCCGCAGGTGGTAGCTGTCGACATCAACGACCTGGGCACCATCAAGCTCAGCCTGGAGGTGAACTGGAAGTGAGTGGCCTAGGGGAGCGCGGCCGGGAGGGCTAGCTGGGCTAGTGTGGCCCTGTCTGCCCTGGGGCTTGTCGGCCCTGCTGGGGGCAGCCTGCCCAGCCCGGCGCTGGGTGCCGGTGGCTGGCTCTGAAGGATGCTGGGGGCTGGTCTGTGGTGCTCGCTCTCCCGATGGCACTGCCCAGTGGTGGGGTCCTGGATCCCGATTGGGCAGGCAGGCCCCCACCTGGGCAGTTGGCCCATGGCCCCTCCGGCAGGTCCTGGTTCCATCGGCAACCCCGGGGGCTCATGGCAGCTGCACCCCTCCTGTGCTCTCCAGCATTGTGGCTAATGCTGCAGGGTGCGGGCAGCCTGCCCAGCCTCCCTCCCTCTGTGCCCTCTCCTGGGCTTCCCGCCCGCTCCCCTTCCCTGCTTGCTGTCGCTTTCCGCAGCTCGGTGCCCGCGCCAGGGTCAGAGCTCAGCGCTGCTACCAGCCCCTGCCTCTCCCTCGTGCTGCCCCTGCCCCATGGCACCAGCGCTGCGCGTGGCAGGAGGATTGGGAGCCCAGCTCCAATCCTGAGCCCAGGGGCCTCCCGCCTGCAGTGCCAGAGCCCCCCGCTCCTCTCACCTCTGTGCTCTCGCCCCCAGCCCCTTCGACAAGGACGATCAGCCCTCAGCTGCCAGCACGGTCAACAAAGCATCCACTGTCAACAAACGATTCTCCACCTACAACCAGAGCCCGCCCGACACGCCCTCCCTGCGGGAGCAGGCCTTCTATGTGAGTGCGCCTGGCCCCGGGATGGGGCGTGCCCTGCGCGGGAGCTGGGGACCGAGAGCGCTCCGGGAGGGGCCCCTGCCTTCTCTGAGCCGCCAGCAGGGTCCCGCTGGGCCTGTGTGCTCCCAGCGCCGTGGTGTGTCCGTGTGGGAGCGCAGGGCTCCCCTGTGCTCTGCGTGGGTCGCCTGTGGCCCACGCCCAGGTCAGCTCCAAGGGGACATGGTCCTCTGGGCTGCTGCTTCATTGATTTGCAGATGTCCTGCTAGGGCCCCCTCCCCCCCGTGCCAGAGCCGCTGCGCCCTGAGGATGGCAGATGGAGTAGCCAGGCAGCCCCAGCAGCCGGCTGAATGCCCCCGAGATCCCTTCCCCCCTGCTGACGGCTCCCTCTTCTCTCTGCCCAAAAGCCCGGAGTGGGCGGCCTCCGAGAAACCCGGGGGGGCCTGGCTGGACATCGTCCGTGAGACGCTGCTTGAGAAGCTGTCTCGGAGCTGCTCCTGCAGCGAGGGCTCCTCAGTCCAGCTCGGGAGATGCCCGCAGCGGGGCCGTGTAAGTTCGCTGGCTGGGGCCAGCCTGTAGCTTAGCCTGGGTGGTCTAGTCGCCCCAGATAGCACTACCTGCTCACTAGCCCATCCATAGGGCCTGGCTTTGGGAACCTGTCGGACAGGAATTCCCAGCCCCCGAACTGCTCCCTCGCCGAGCAGCTGGGGCGTCTGCTGTCTCTGAGCTGGCAGCCGCCCGTAGGCTCCAGGCTGGGCAGGGATCCGAGTGTGAGGGGAACCCCTCAGGCCCATGCCAGCCTCTCCCTGCATGGACAAGCCTTACTCTGAGGCTGCCCCGGCTGCCCCATGCCAAAGGTGGTGCTGTAGCTGCTTGCCATAGCTATAGACCCTGCCCCCTTGCCCTTTCCAGCCCAGTCCGTGCCCACAGTGAGACGCGCCTCCAGCCCCACTGTTCCTTGCCCCATCTCGTACTGCTCATGCTAGCCCCGCCAACGGGACCCGTTGCTCACACCTGGGGTGGCTCTGGGGCTGCCCGCTGTGGGGGTTAGGGGCTGGAGGAAGGGCACAGAGCAGGGGCTGGCAGCCAGGACTCCTGGGTTCTATCGCCGGCTCTGAGTGGGGTGGAGCAGTTACAGCAGGGAATACCCTGGAGGTGAACCCAGCCCTGCTTTGATGGGACGTCCCCTTCCCAATACCCCCCTCGCCCTCTGCAGCTGGGCCCTGTGCCGGGGGAATGTGGGCACTCACACGGCATGGGGCGGTGCGCGGAGTATGTGTGTGTCTGCACAAAGCTCTCGTGTCCCGTCATGGCTGTGGGGCAGCTCCGGGGGGTGGGGGAGTGGGGCTGGCGCAGGCTGGGCACCAGAGTATGCATTGCGTTGACCAGCCCGGCTTGCAGCGTGGTGCTGAAATGCCTGGGGCTGTGCCGGCCAGTGCCGGGCGGAAGCTACGCACCTGGCCAGCCCCTTCCTCCCAGGCAGTGTCAGGGCCCAGCCGACGTGACGGGGACCCTGGCCCCGAGGCTGGAGCAATGGCCCGCGGATGGGACCCTGCCAGTGGGATGCTCCCCCCACCGGGGAGGGTTTGGTTTCCCAAGCCTGAAGGGGGCTGAGCTCTTGGCTCCCGCAGCCCTGCCCAGGGGGGAGCTGGCTGGGATGCTGGGGGTGACATGGAGTTGGGCTGGGCTGGTGTCCTCACAGTGACTCTGCCCTGCCCCCAGGGAGCTGGCAGACCCTGGGACTCAGCAGGTTGGGGGCAGACGGGGGGGATAGGGGAGCTGCTGAGTGGGAAGTGGGAGGCTGCTGGGACCCAAGTGAGCCAGTGTTGAAACCCTGGCAGCGGTGGAGGGCGGGGGGCTGGAGAAAGCTGTGAGGGGAGGGTGTGGCCAGGGCTGGGTGGGGAGTTGGCAGGGTGGGTGGGTGTGGCTGCTGGGTGCGTGGGGAGGGCGTGGCCAGGGGCTGGGTGGGTGTGGCTGCTGGCTGTGAGGGGAGGGCGTGGCCAGGGCTTGGTGGGGCATTGGCAGGGTGGGTGGGAGTGGCTGGCGGCTGCGGGGGTGATCGCTGGCAGCGGGGCGGGGCGTGGCCGGCGGCGAGGGGCCGTGCTGACGTGCCATCTCTCTCTAGAACATGCTGCGGCGGCAGGAGGAGCTGGAGAACGGCACGGCCTGGTCCATCTCCTCGGAGTCGTCGGATGATTCCTCCAGCCCCCAGCTGTCGGGCAGCGCCCGCCACGCCTCCCACAAGCCCATCGTACAGCCCGAGGTGCAGGCCTCCGCCCCTGCCATAGAGATCGCCTTCTCCCAGCAAGAGGAGGCGGGCGCCGCAGCCGAGCCCCCCAGCCGGCAGGAGGAGCCAGGGGGCCCGAGGAAGGAGGTGGTGGTCAATGGGCACGTGCCCTACTCCCGGACTCTGAGCCACATCAGCGAGAGCAGCCTGGACGCGGCAGTGGATTGCAGGGAGGGCTCCAGCGCCCATGGTGGGGAGTCTTCACCAGACCCCCAGGACCCCAGCACCGGGGAGCTGCCTCCCCTGGAAACAGACGCTCTCCCCGAGGCCTCGAACTCACTGGTGCTCTGGGCTGGGCCGGACAAGGGCCCGGAGGCTGAGCCCTGTGGGGCCATGTCTCAGGCCGAGGCCTGTGAGCCTGTGGTGGGGCGGGCTGAGGCCGCTGTGTGCCAAGCTCTGGGGCCGCAGGGGCATGAGGTCTCCCCGGGCCGGCCAGTGGTGCTGCAGCCAGTCTCAGAGGAGAGGGGGAGGCCGGCCCCTGCCTCGCTCCCGCCCCCCAGCCCAGCAGAGGTGCCAAGGCCCAAGCCTGTGGACTGCGGCCTGGAGGAGGCCATTGGCTCGCTGGGCTCGGCCCTGGACGACTACCGGGGGCAGTTTCCCGAGCTGCAGCCGCTGGAGCGGGAGCTGAAACGCCTAGAGGAGATCCTCATGGTAAGGGGGCAGTGGTGGGGCCTCGAGGATGGTGCCAGCCCTACGGCAGCCATGCGGGTCGGTGCCCAGCTCCTCCCCTTCCCATGTGGGGCAGCGAATGTCCTTGGGCTGGGGACGCTGGTTCCTGGGCTCTATTGTCACGGTCCCCCTGCCCTGTGCCCCTTGTGTCTGGTCAGATGGGGGGTGGAAGGGGTTACATCGTGGAGAGCGGGGTTTGGGGAGCAGGGCCCAGCAACCGTGGCCGGGTCCCAGGGCAGCTGGGGCAGACCCTGGGGTGACGGGCAGCTGATGCGGCTTGGCAGGGACTGTGGCGTCTAGAACCAGCTGCCCCTGCTGCAGTGTGCCCACAGCCCGTCTTCCCGCCGTGCGTGGTGGAGCAGCCCAGGCCCGAGAGCCACGGCATGGGTCCCAGCTGGTACAAATGCCGGGCAGCAGCAGCTGGCCAGTGGCCCGGGGACACAGCCTGCCCAGCCCCCACTCCTTACTGTCCCCACAGCACAAGCAGGGCATCTTCCTGAGCCGGGCCTCCAGCATCAGCCTGACGGTGGAGCACGCCCTGGAGAGCTTCAGCTTCCTCAACACCTCGGACATGGACGACTCGGAGGGCTCGGAGGAGGAGGGCAGCCGGAGCGAGCGGTGAGCCGGATGGGGCCCCCCCCAGGGGCGTTGGCCCTGGCTGCCCCAGTTGAGGAGGCCTAGGGTGGGCCAGCAGAACGTCGCTGTGGATGGGTTCTGGTCCCAGGCGCTGACCCAGGGTGCCTGGCCTGGCCACGTCCCTGCATGGGGGTGACCCAGGCCCCCCCAATAGGAGCTGGGCCACGTGCAGAGCTGGTCGTTGAGCTCAGGGAGTCAGACTGAGGGGCCAGGTTCGATCCCCGTCCCGGAGTTTTGCTGTGGCTGCCGTCCCCTTCGATGTGCCCGGGAAGCCCAGAGCCTGCTGGCTATCGCCCCCTGGTGGCCAGGCCTGGCTGTCAGCGGCAGCTCCCAGGGCGCGTGGAGCATGTCATGCCCACCTTGCCTCCTCCGGCCAGTGGGACCCCGGTACTGTGGGGGTGCGGGGAGCCTCGGCATTGCCACCAGGAGCACTGCCGAGCCAGTGCGGGCCCCCTAGTCCCAGCTAGCCATGCTTTGGGCAGGCTGTGCTGCAGCAGCGCCACCTAGTGGTCAGGGTCCTGGAGTGCGGTTCGTATTCACTGCCTCCTCCTCCCCCGCCCCGGCTTTCCAGAGCTGGGGTGCAGAGGGGAGCCTGTGGCCCAGCTGCTGTCCCCTGCGAGACGTGGGGGGCTGACTTCTTGAGGAAAGCAGAAATGGGTCCCAAACCCATCCAACTCCTTGTCCACTCTAAACCACAGGGATCTAGAGATCAGACCCTGGCCCCAGGCTCTCCCCCACTCTGGGTGCTGCTGCACAACACGCTCCTTGGAGGCCTGGGGGACTGTTAGAAGAGGGTGTGAAGCCCAGGACTCCTGGGTTCTGTGCTCGCAGGGCGGCAGCGGGTGCTGGGGGT